GGTATATTTTACCTCGCTGTCTTTCATAGTGCGTAGTACGATACGATTTAGTAGTGAAATCTTCGCGGTGCGCTGAGGTGTGGGAGAGTGATAATAGTAGTTGCATATCTTGTACTACGTTGAAGTCGTATAATCTGCCTGGTCAAACTTGTATAATTCTGTTTCTACCAAAAAAACTAAGTTGAAATTTTCGGCATGAGAAATTTCCCAGCAAATTTTTGTTTGATTTAAATGATTTTTTTTTGTTGCGGCTCAGATTTTGCGTAAATATTTCCTCCCGTTTGATCTCCTTTTCCTCCACCTTGCGGCAAGGCGAACGATTATTGTGAGTAATGGGGAAGATCCTATGGCCCTGTACCGCACTATGAAGATTTATCATACTCAAGATGTGTGGTTTCGGAAGCTCTTTGCGGTGTTCTCAAGATATGCTTATGTCAACACTATAGTTGAGGTTTGACCAGAATCGGGCTTGAGTTGAATCTTACCATGATGAACCTAAAGATTCTCTCAGTTTTACTCTACCACTGTTGAAAGGGTTTGACCAGAATCGGGCCTGAGTTGAATCTTACCATGATGAACCTAAAGATTCTTCCAGTTTTTTCTCTACCACTGTTGAAAGGGTTTGACCAGAATCGGGCCTGAGTTGAATCTTACCATGATGAACCTAAAGATTCTCTCAGTTTTACTCTACCACTGTCCCAATGCCGGCCAAAGCGATGGAGTTGTCGGAGTATCTCGAGCGGATCGAGCGTGCTTGCCGACCACCGAGGGAGTGGAGCAGAGCATGCGAAATGGTGATGGAAAATGTGGAGCATGTATTAAACGATCATTACGGTGATAAAGGACCAAGAGTTAAAGCACAGGTAATTTTTTTGGGGGAAAAATTATTTTTGCGGCGGAATGGAAATGGTTATGTAGTTTTGAAATGGCGTTTTAAGGCACATGTAGTTTTGCGGTACGTGAAGGTGTAATTTTTTTGGGGGGAAGAGTTTGCATTCCTTGGTCGTGGAATGAAAACGTTTATGTAGTTTTTAAAATGATTTGATTTTAATGAGGAGTTTTGAAGCAATAGGGGTGGGAAGGACGGCAGATGATTACGGTTTGAATTCTCTAGGATTAGATCCATCATAAATTTAATTTTTGTAGCGTTGTCAATTGCACGCGTACGCACATTATATCTTGATGATACCACAACATGAACAACAGGGGTTACAAGTGTGATGGTTGTGGTAGATATTCGACAGTTTTTGAGCTGCGGAAAATTGGGCAAATTTTTCATTTTTCTTGGCAAAAAAATAAGTCTGGGGTCATGAGGGAAAAGTTTGACATTTTTTTTGTGTGAAAATTTCAATTTTACCATGGCGACGGTATTGGAATGCATATTCGCTTGTCTCAGCTGAGCTCAGAAGTTTTTTACGAGTTCACATACGTGTGAGGAAATGAGCAAAATTTCCGAAAATTTCCGGAATTTCTATATTGTTACCAACACATGTAGTTGACCATATGCATATTTTCCGATCGCAAAATATTTTTTCCGTTATTGTTCCTCAGGGATCGTATGTGCAGAGCTTGATGATACGTGGAAGCGATTTGGATTTAGTCTTGTATAGGAAAGGTCGCCGGATAAACTCTTGTAATAGGGTGGGGAGATCTCGGGTTCGATTCTCTGCGCGTGATTTTTTCATGCAATTTTTATTTCTCTGCAGCTCTGGATCAACCGATGGATGTGGCTGCATGGGCTTTGTGACATTTTGAGAAATTATTGATTATCATTGGAGTTTCACCACCCTAGTGATATGAAAAACACTGGTGAAAAACATATTTCACGACTACTGCATATCACCGCGAAAATCGCGCTTTTCACCGAGTTTTACGCCGCCACTTCACGTAAAACGGGTAGTCGTGAAACTCCAATATTTTTCTGAGATTTTGAGCACGATTTTGTTGTGGACTTATAAAATAATAAAAAATCGTTGGTGTGGCTACATTCGAAAATTTGATTATGTTTCGGTGCCTAGGGGGACGCTGTTTATAGTTGATACAGATTTTGGAATATATTTTTGTAAGGTTCTAAGAACTGCGTGAAAAGATATTTAACTACGACCACTGAGGCGGTGGTGCGGTCGTTGAATAATCTGAATAGCGATGTCAGGGCTCGGGTGAAACAGAGAATTCTGCACGCACGAGTTCCTATTGTAAAGCTAGTGTTTGAGGTAGCTGGGAGGCAATTTCAGTGGCAGTGTTGGAGTAGTAGGAATATATGTAATCGCTTTCCTCAGCACCTGAGCTCAGGAGTTTCCTATACAGTGTTGGAGTAGGAATATATGTAATCGCTTTCCTCAGCACCTGAGCTCAGAAGAGTTTCCTATACAGTGTTGGAGTAGGAATATATGTAATCGCTTTCCTCAGCACCTGAGCTCAGAAGAGTTTCCTATACAGTGTTGGAGTAGGAATATATGTAATCGCTTTCCTCAGCACCTGAGCTCAGGAGTTTCCTATACAGTGTTGGAGTAGGAATATATGTAATCGCTCTCCTCAGCACCTGAGCTCAGGAGTTTTCTTACTAAGTATCGGAGTTTGTAAACAAATTTTGGTTGTAGTAACGAGAACTTTGAAAAAAATCCCTCGAAATTAGTCTGTGGGGAAAAACTCGGAAAAATTCCTCAAACACTTTTACCGATTTTATCGTATTTTGCGTTATTTTTTCGGCCCGGCTGTGCATAGGTGCATCGTATTTTTTCATGGGAATGAACGCGCGAATTTATGCTCTTCAACAACGGGAAAAATTACGAAATGGGAATATCCTGGGGAAATTTTTCCGATTTCGTGATATTTTTACCATCATCTTTTTGTGATTGTCGCTACAGGTTCGCTCTGACGTGATCGATTGGAGACCTCCGACGAGCCC